GCCCTCAGGGCGGGCCCAACGAATATGGAACCATCTCGGGTGGGGGTTCGGGTCACTAGAGTCGTGATCATGTCTGTGTGTGAGTGTGCCCGAGAGGAGAGCTTCCGAGACCCACTACAAGACCACGCACGCATCATCCCGCGGCCTGGCGGTCGGCGGGATTGCAACCAGTCTTGGCGTGCCGCCTGTCGTTCGCTCGGGCGCTTTGGGCGTCGGGGTGGCGAGCAGGGGACGCAGCTCTGAGCGCCCAGCGACGCGTGCCGGATGGAGTCCGGCCGCGGGTGACTAGGGAAGTTCGCTCAGGATGTGTGGCAGTCAGTTCGGCTGAGTGCTCAAGTGCTCACCAAGCCGTTTTAAAGTACCACCGCTACGACTCTGGAGATAACATCGAGATTCGCTCACCACGAGCCTTACGTGTATGAATGAAGCAAAAACAACTCTCTCTCGCAGCAGACAGGCTCGCTCGACACAGGTGCGAACTGGCGCGTGCTAGCATGATAAAGAATTTTACAAGAAAGGCCTCTCTCACACGCACGATTCACACGACAGACAAGGCGCAGGCGACGGCTATAAACTCCTGATGCCTGCGCCGCGAATCACGCCGCACCCATGCGGCGCCAGAACCCACAGTCGGTCTTCGCTGTATCGCTGCTCTCTCATCCGATCCTCACCATTGCAAAGCGTGTTCTGAACACACCACAAAGCATGTTCATGGCCCGCCAACTCACCACCGCCTCACTGCACACCGGCCGGCGAGCGAGACACACGCTCCGCTCGATCCTCACCACGTATCCGATCAGCTCGGACGGCCGGCGCGAACCCGTATCGCAATCGACGGCCGCCGAGCTGGTGGACTCGTTTCAGATGATGCCGCGCGACCTGCGGCTGCTCGCTACAAACAACATCACGCTGGGTGTGCGTGAGCACTACTACATCTTCCGCTTCCCGCCGTTCACCGGCGTCGTCGCCTCGGACCGGGCGTGCCTCGTGGCGCTCGGCGAGGCGCAGCGGGAGCAGCGTTCGGCGCACTGGGCGATGGCAGCGCCCGCCGGCAGCGGCGTCGCCTCCGAGGTGCTCGCGTCCGAGATCGTGCGCGTCGTCCAGAAGCGGACGAGCGGCGCCTCGAGTGGCGACCTGGCGGGCCAGCTCTACGACGGCCTGCTGCAGGGCCCGCTGCCGTTTGAGCTGCGGGTGCTCGATGCGGTGCTGAGGGAGGACCTGCTCCGAAAGCAGGCGTAGCACATTAAAGCCTCCGACACTCCTCCGACACTCCTCCGACACTCCTCCGACACTCCTCCGAGAGACACACTGTCACCACGGCCTGCTCCTCGGCAGGAGCGCTTCAGCCGGATCTCCTCGCGGATGGCACGCGCACTCGGCTCGCGCGCCTAGATGAGGGACACGCATCCTAGAACCTGGCGAGCGCTCGAGACTGCACGCAGTCGGTTGTACCGTATCCAGCCGCACGCGAGCCGTCTCGGTCTGCACTCGTGGCTCTTATCTTCGATGCTCCAGGCACGCGCGACCGGCGGCTCGAGCAGCGACGGCCCCGCTCGCTCGGCCTGCTCACCCTCGCCGCCGACGCGCACGCCGAGGCGAGAGAGGAGGCGCTCTGCCCGCTGCACACTCGACCAGACTGGACAGACTGCTGGGGCTCGGCTTGTGCACTGCTCCCGAATCTTGCTCGCAGGCGCTCTGCCAGCTGATCACGCTCGGGACATGACCATGACACGCGTCCATGACACGTCCATGACACGTCCGGGACTCGTCCGCAGGCGCTCTACCAGCTCATCACGCTCGGCGACGCGCTCTCCTCGCTCGGCGTGGAGGTGACGCGGGCCGAGGACACCTCCACGACACCTCCACGACACGTCCACGACACGTCCGAGACACGCCCGCGACACGCCCACGACACGTCCACGACACGTCCGAAACACGTCCACGACACGTCCACAACACGTCCAAGACACGCCCACGACACGTCCGAGACACGCCCGTGACACGTCCCTCCCTCGCTCGGGCGTGGAGGTGAAGCGGGCCGAGACGACGCTCGAGGCGCTGCTGCGGAGCGACGAGGACATGGCTGCGCTGTACCTGTCGCACCGCAAGCAGCGCGGCGAGGCGAGGCCCGAGAAGGAGTGCGGCGACGGAGCTGCGGCTGCTCGGGCCGGCCCTCCCCTACAGCTTCCCCGGATCTCTCCCCTCTAGGAGCACGTCGAGGTGGAGCTGATGCTCGAGGCAGCCGCCGCTGCAGTGCCTCCGACGGACCCTTCCCCGAACCTGCTCGGAAGTCTGCCCGCAGGCGGCCGCCGCGCAGTACGCCGACCTCGAGGACCGCATCTTGGGCGTGCGCGCGTCGCTGGCGGCGCGCCGCCCTCGAGCGACGCAGGTGGCTGGCGCTGTCGTGAACTGCTGCAAGCGCGTGGCGTGGTTTGCGGTAGGCGCGCCGCAGCTCGAGGAGCTCAACAAAGCATTAGAGCATGAGAGTGTTAATGACCATCTCGAGCCATCTCGCCCAGGCGCACCGCTCGCTCGAGGAGCTCAAGCTACGCAACGAGCGGAACCGGATCATGCGGCTCGAGGTGCTGCTGCAGATGGGCTCCCTCTCGCTCGCCCTCGCCGCCGTCTCCGGCGGCTTCTTCGGCGCGAGACCCTGCTGCTGCGCTCGGCCCGCCAGGCGGCAGAGCACCCCGCGACGTGGCCCCCACACGCTGCTAGGCATGAACCTGCACTCCGGCGTGGAGGAGGTGCCGCACCTGCTCTGGCTCGTGGCGGGCGGCACCGCCGGCGCGTCGACGCTGCTGCTGCGCGCCTTCCTCCGCTCGGCGCGCGCGCCTCCCCGCCCGGTGGCCTCGTCCACGGGACGGCGGGAGCACGCCCCCCCCCCCCTCCCCCCCCCTTCCCCCCCCCCTCCTCCCCCCTCCCTCTCTCCAGGTGCGCACCTTCCACGGGCTCCAGCGCGACCAGCTCCTCGCCACCTCGGCGCTGCAGACCGCGCTGCAGGGCGCCGACCCGCGCCCTCGACCACGCCCACCCCGCCCTCCAGGACGCGTCCGTGACGCGTCCAGCACACGACTCACAGGGCTCGACCACGCCTACCTCGCCCTCCGCCACGCCGGCGAGCTCGCGCCGCCCTCGCAGAGCTTCGGCGAGGGCGGGAACGGCGGCGCGGCGGCGCCCGTCTCGCGCGCGCGGCTCGCAAAGGCGCTCGCGGCGACGGGTGCCACCCTGGACGAGCCGCAGCTGCGCGCGCTGCACCACCTTCTCGCCGAGGACGAGGACCAGGTGTACGACGTGCTCACCCGGCCACGCGGGGGCGAAGAGGGGCGCGGCGTGGGGCCGTAGAGCGCCCGCGTCGCGCGTGCGTATAGGGATGTAGCCTCTCGCGTTGGCACGCTGTACAAAAGGGCGGGCTTCGCTTGTATAGAGAGAGAGAGAGGAGAGAGAGGAGAGAAAACGGTTCAGTTCTCTCACGAAGGCAAAGCTCACTTGTCACAACGGGGGGCTCCTCTGACTCTGTGCGCTCTGCGGTTGCGCACCCCCCTCACGCAGCCTCTACACACAGCCTCATACTTTACTGACACAACCCCCTGGATCCCCTACGGGGTGTGGTGAGTTGACCAGGGGTTGTGCGCCGGGCCCTCCTGCTCGGCTCCAGCGAAATTAGACAAGTGTTGTCATCAACAGAGTAGAAGGATCTGACCTCGGGGCCGATGTGACCAAGCGCTGTTAGCGTGGTTTTACCTCACACCCACGGTCTCTCACAGTGTGCCGGCAGTCGCCGAGCAGTGTCGCTCACACAAGCCGCAGCACAAGTGACTGAGGGCCAGTGAGGGCGAGCCCATGCCACCGAAGGCGCTGTCGAGGTTCGCCGAGCGCGGCGCAGGTTGAGGGACACCGTCACCGACGAGCGCGTTGGACTTTTCACTCCGGACAAAGACCGCTGCACAGCGGACGGTACGGGCCGTGCAGCGGTCATAGCGGCGAGGCGCGGGACCGTCTGTGGCGAAGTGGGTCGCGTCCCTCGATTTCCGTCACCTCACCCTCCACACACCCTCTTGCGGGTTCGAGTGGCGGGCCATCCCGCTTGCGGGATGGCTTAGCGGGTTCGAGCCGTCACACATTGGCTGCTGGGGTGTGCCGAGGGGGGCTGGGTGGGCGGTAAGCCGTCATTGCCCGGCGCTGCTTGCAGCGCTCTGGGTGGTGGTGGCGGCGCTCCAAGAGTGGTGCTCTTGGGAAGAGGTTCCTCCTTTCCGCTCCCCCCCCCGCAAGGCGCGAGACACACTCTGCCTTTTACTTTAGCGCATCTCCCTGGACCCTGCGAGACACTCCGCATTTTCTCCCGTAGTCTTTCCCTTAGTAAGAAAGAAAGAAAGAAAACAGAAACCCAAGGGAGGGATGCACGCGCCACACACGCCTTTCCCTTCATAAATTAAATAAATAAAACAGACACACCAAACGAGGGGTGGGAGAAGGACAGGGTCCCCACCTGCACGAGCAGGATCTTGCAAGGACGATCAGGGACACAGGGGAACGGGAGTGGGGAGCGCATCGCGACACGGAGGGGGGCTGGGCAGGGTTCACCCACACGACAGGGTCCCGAGGGCCCAACTCATGCCAGCGGACGGTCGTCGTCTCTCAGTGATGTTAGCTACGCCACCGTCTACCTCGTGCGACATGCGCTCGCCGACATCGAGCGAGCTCGCCTGTCCGAGGAGCTGCCGAGGAGCGGCTTGCTGTGCGGACGGCTTCTTGTGGCTCTCGTGAGAGCGTTTTGCGGCCCGGCGGCTGGGAGAATATGTGTCGTTTGATGTGTCACTGTGTACGTCATGACTCATGTCAGTCTTGATAACAAGTACGGTCGATCCGTCAAAGTGATACACTCGTCGATCACACACCTCCCTCGGACCGACCCTTCGTCACAACCCGACCGACACCTGGATGCTACGTGCTACGTCCTACGGTTGCAACTTTGCGAGCGAGGAGCCTCAACCCGCAACCCCCACGGACACCGCTCACCGGCGGCGGCCGCGGGCCCGACACCGGGTCCGGCGGCGGCCCTTGCCCTTTCACAGCTGCCCTCTTCGGCTCCCCAAACATCGATCGCGCCGACCTCGACGCGCCCCCTCGCCCCAGCCCTGAGGTCTGATTACTCGTCGTCGTCGTCGTCCTCCTCCTCCTCCTCCTCCTCCTCCTCCTCGCCATCGTCGCCGTCGGTATCGAAGCGGAGCGCCCGCTTCGCCTGCTCGTTGTTCAGCTCCACAACTCGTCGTCGTCGTCGTCGTCGTCGTCCTCCTCCTCCTCCTCCTCCTCCTCCTCCTCCTCGCCATCGTCGCCGTCGGTATCGAAGCGGAGCGCCCGCTTTGCCTGCTCGTTGTTCAGCTCCACACGCCCGCCGTAGCCAAACGCCACCAAAGGCGGCATATCCGCGGCGGCAACATCGGCATTGAGGCACGCAAGGATGCCGGCACACGCGCCAGCTTGCGAGAGGTGGGCGACCTGAGTGACGACGAGCAAGCGCACGCCGCGCACGTCGAATGGTGTGAGGACGCACAAATCAGGCGGCAACCGGCACGTCTTCTCGGTGAAAGCGCGATACGCGCGCTCGGCGAAATTTTCCGGATCGTCGGCGGACGCGTGCGTATGAGCCGCGTAGAGCATGCCGGCAGCAAAGCTACCAAAGGCCGCGACGACCCCGCGCGTGAGCCGCGCGTCGCGCAGCCGCTCAGCGTGCTTGAAGATGGCCTTCGCCTGCCGATCGAAGCCGTGCCGGTGCGGCTCGTCACTCACTGTGTTATCCACCGGTGGGTCCAAGTGATGGTTGACGCACGCGATGACCATCTCGTTGTTGCCGCTGCCTAGTAGCTCCGGCTGGCTCAGGCCTGACCATATGGTGCGCGCACGCTGAGCGAGCGCCGAGCTGCGCGCGGTCTCACCCTCTTTTGGCACGGTCACGTGCGAGTCGCAATTGCTCGGGCCAACGACTTTAATGTGGCTCGCGTGGCGATAGCTCTGCTCGTCGAGCGGTGAGTGGCCCAGCATCAACAAGCCGCTCGTCGCGCCGCTCACCGCCACCGTCGAGTCGTCGTTCGCCCGCCGCGCCGCCGCGGCCGCCCCGCCGTCCCTGGGCAAGTCGCGCAGTCGCTCGAGGCGATCCAGCTCCTTCTTCTTCTTCTTGTGCTGCTTTTCAATCTGCGTGCGCTTGCGCTCCTCCTCCGCCGCCGCCTCCGCCGCCTTCCGCTCCTCCTCCGCCTTCCGCTTGTCCGCCGCCTCTGCCGCCGCCAAGCCTTGCGCGAGCAGTCCGCTGTCGACACCCGCTGCGTCGGCGCGCGCATGAGCACGCCTCAATGCCTCCACATCAGCGGGGTCCAAACCGAGCACCGCCTCGAGGGCCTCGGCCGCATCGCAGCGCTCCTTGAGCGCCACCACCCGCTCATTCGCCTACACATTACGCTACAGCTGATATGCTATCCTCGTCGAGATCTTTACAACATGCACGCCCGCCTCTGCAAAGAGCGGCTCCTCTGCAGCGCCGAGAGAACGGCTGAGCTTGCGTGCCGCGTCGAGCGCATCGTTCACCGCATCAATCGAGTCGCCGCTGATGGCAGCGCGCAGCTTCTTTAACCGCCGATCGAGCTCCTCCTCCAATTGCGTCCGAGGCTCAGCAAGCGCCTTCGCCTCCACACCCGCCTCTTCCGCCTCCTTGATTAGGGCAGGCACACGGTCCATCTCCCCACGCGCAAACGCCTGCTGCACAGCAGCAAGGGCCTCCGCAGCTTTGGCCGCCTTTGTCGCCTCCGCCATCGCCGCCTCGGCCGCCACCATCTCCGCCTCTGCTGCTTCCTCGGCCGCCAGACTCTTCGCCGCTGCCGCCGCCTTTTCTGCCGCAGACTGCTCCGCCGCCGCCTTCTCCGCCGCCGCCTTCTCCGCCGCCGCCGCCTTCTCTACCGCCGCCTGCTCCGCCGTCGCCTTCTCCGCCTTCTCCGCCGCCGCCTTCTCCGCCGCCGCCGCCAACTTTCCCCTTGCCGCCGCTGCCGCCGACTCCGCCGTGGCCTTGCGCTCCGCTGCCGCCGCTGCCGCTGCCGCCGCTGCCGCCGCCGCCGCCGCCTTTCGCTCCTCCTCAGTCACCACCGCCACCTTGGTGATGTCCTCGGTGCTGTCCTCGGTGATGTCCTCGGTGATGTCGGTCGGCGGCGCATCCTCGTCCTCGGAATCGTCCTGAATGGGTTCGGGTGGGAAGTGGGATGGGATGAATTACCGTTCAAAGCGGGAAGGCGGGTGCACCTTGATGCGCGGCGGTTTCTTCTTCAAGGTGCTCTTCTGCCTCTTCTGCGCCTCAGGCGGCGGGAGAGCGGGCCGCTTGCCCCCAGAGCATTTGTGGCCCTTCTTCGGCATGCCACAGATGCCGCACTTATAGCTGCGCCGCGGAGCACCACTGCTCGCCGCCGTGCCGGGGCCAACCGCCGCGCCGCCGGCCGCCCCCGCGCCAAAGCCTGCCACCGCGCCGCTGCCGGCCGCGGCCGCTGGGTCGGAGTCGTCGTCCACGGGACGGCTCTCGTCTTCAGCCGCCGCCCATTCTGCCGCCGTCTCCACGAGGCTCTCATGGAAAACCCAAACCTTCGGGAGATGGAACTTCGCCACCCGCCCGAGCAGGGCCCTGAGCAAATCCGGTTCCGAGCACGCCTCAAAGTGCTTCATGATCTCGTCCTCCTTCGCCATACGGTGACCGTTGCGCCCAGCGGTGACGTGCGAGCGGAAGAAAGCGCAGAGCTCCTGCAAGAGGCGGGAGGTGATGCCGCCACTCTCGCCCGCCGAGCCGCCCGCATCGTCGTCGCCGCTCTCCTGGAGCGCCTCCTGGCTAGGCTGGCTAGGCTCGAAGGCCTGCAGGGTCAGCTTCTCCTCCTCCTCCTCGCTGCGCCGCGTGTCCTCCTTAATCTTGTCATCCAAATCGCCCAACCACTTCTCGCCGCGGGACATCAGCTGCGCGAGCTGTGCGATGCTGGGTTGGATGTCGAGATCAGGGCTCGCCGCCTCTGCCCTGTCGTTCTCCGTCTTTGCCTCTTCGACCGCCGCGCGCAAGCTCTCGTACGCCGCCGCGCGCGTTTGCGCCGCGACGTCGCCGAGCCGCATGCAAGCCTCGGCGATGGCGCCGTTGAGGTTCTCGGCAACGAGATCGCGCAACAACGCCTCGCCGCCCGAGATAATCGTCTCCTCGACGTATCCTTCGTTCGCGTCCTTGAGCGCCGCCTGCAGGCTCACCCTGTCCCTCTCCGCGATGGCGGTTTCGAGCCGGGTTCGGCGCTCCATCCCCCTCTGCACGAGCTGACTTTTGGCCTATAGCAGTCCTGTCAAGCTTAATTCAGTCCCGTCGCGACGCCACGCTGGCGTTGCTCGCGCGCCTCGTTGAGCAGGCCGCGGGTCTCATGGTCCAGATCAGCGCCGAGCCTGTCATTCTGCTGCACTGCCTCCTTCAGCGCAAGAAATGTACCCGATTTCAGCGCGGACCGGATCACCGCGCGCGTCTCGGGCACGTAGTTGAAGCGGAGCGTGAGGGTGTTGCCGCTGCAGCTGTGCTGCTTAGACATCGCGCAGAGGGCCTCGCTTACGGTCTCATAGCTGATGAGGGCGGCCCGCGTCAGATAGGAGTCGCTCTTGGGCAGGACATAGACGTTCGTCACCTTGCCGTACCGCTCGAAGTGGCTGCACAGCGCCTTCTTGAAGTCGTCCCGGTTGCAGTCCGATATGAACTCGTCGGGGAGCTTCTCCAAAAAGAGGTGGCGCGAAAGCTCGGCCTCGGTCTCCGCGTGCTCCGCCTTCGGCGCCTCCGAAAAGGACGCCCGAGCCGCCCGAGCCGCCGGAGCCGCCGGAGCCGCCAGAGCCGCCGGAGCCGCCTGTCCCGCCTGTCCCGCCGGCGCTGGCGCGGCAGAAGGGGACGGCCCGCTGAACAGCTCTCGCTGGACCGGAGGACGCCCGTTCGACCGAGGCGAGCTGGGAGCCCACTGCCACCGGAACCCAGTCTCGCGGAATCCAGTGCGAGGCGGGTCCGGTTCTGGCACCCTGGCGGCGAGGGGAAGGGTGAGGGGGAGGGTGAGGAGGCACATCGGTGCTCGGGGGCGTCCTAGCATGAGGTGAGCCCACCATCCCGTCGTTCCTTCCCACGACTTCTCATCACCATCGCCCATCGCCGCCTGAGACCTGAAGGGGTGGGGCCGTCAAGAAAAGCGGCGTCAATGGCGTATGTCGAGGCTCGGGTGACGAGGTGTGCGTGGTGTGAACTTGCAGGAGCTTGAGGATGTCGACCAAGAAGAGAAAGGCGCGCCGCAAGAAACGGGCGCACCCGACGCTGTGATGACAACGCGCGGCTGGTGGCGCGCAGCGCGGCGCGTAGTGGCGTGAGTGGCGCAAGTGTGTGTCTGCGCGTGGCGAGCGCGAGCCTGGGACTCCGGCTGCTCGGCAAAAGAGGCGGGAGCGCGGCTCAATCCGTTCGAAACGGAGTGCTCGATTTTTGGAAAAGAATTTTACAAGCAGCGCGCACAACACTGGGCACGGGAAGGGAGAGCACGACGAGAAGGGGGAGACCGCGAGGTGGCACGAAGGTTGCAGCTAGAATCGGAGAGAGACTGCGAAGAGAGATAGGAAGAGGCGGACGCCCAAGGGTGGGCGACGGCTAGCGCACCACACCCCTCTCCTTAAAATCCCTGTGTGGTGGCGGCGTGCCGTTCTCCCATCCCTTCCCTTGGGGTGTCTGTTTTCTTTCTTTCTTTTTAAGTACTATGAAGTGCCTGGAAGGCGGATGCCCTGTCGCCTGTGTGTGGGGGTGGGTATTGCGTTGTTGTATGTTGAGCAAAATATACGAAAGAGAGACGGTCACACACGGTCTCAGGTCACACAAATGGGGCGGTGTCCAGAGCCCGCGACGAGAGGGCGAGAGAGGTCGGCGGTGGATTGATGTACCAGGTCGTAACATGATAGATGATTTTACATGTGCAGTCGTACACGTTTGTATCGCGAGATGTTGCGATCGTGTTTTGATGAGCGCATGTGCCGCATCCCCCCAGGCGTTTCAGAAGGGCCCTTCAGCTTTCAGAAGGGCGGAGTTCCACCACTTGCGCACTTGGGTTGGGTGGCAGTCTCTCTTTTCGACCGAGTCTCTAACGTTTTGTTTTGCCTCTTGGGTGGTGGTAAGTGCTAAGTCCCTTCCCGGCGTTCCCTGACATGCTCGAACATGCTGTGCGCCCTCCGAGAGAGCGCCGTCCGCGCAGAGCAGCACGATCGGCTGGTCGAGGGGCCACTTCTCCGCCACGCGGGCGGCGAAGGTCGCGTCGGGCAGATAGTAGCCGTGCTCCCACGTGTAGGCGGCCAGGTTGGCGGAGCAGGCGAGGTGCCCATCGAGCCGCCACTCTGCCGGCTGCCGCACGTCGACCAGCAGCGCCTGCGGGACGTGTCTCAGGCGCGTCACAGACGGGGGACGCGCCTGCTGCCGCGCGGGAGAGAGAGGGGCTGCGCACCGCGCCGCTCAGCACCAGCTCCGCCAACGCGCCGCTCGGCTCAACCTCGATTGCGCCTCCGCCTCCCTCGCTTCCCTCGCCCGCCGCGCCTCCCTCGCCTCCCTCCGCCTCGCCTCCCTCGCCTCCCTCGCCCCCCTCGCCTCCCTCGCCCCCCTCGCCTCCCTCACGCGGCAGAGGAGCAAGGTCGAGGAGCGCGGAGGTTAGCGCCTCCGCCGCCTCCTCCTCCGCCGCCTCCTCCTCCTCCTCCGCCGCCTCCGCCGCCTCCGCCACCTGCGCCACCTCCTCCTCCCCTGCACCCTCCCCGTCCGCGGCGCGTGCCACCACCGCGCCGGTGGTCGGGTCGACCGCTCTCCCCTCCAGGTCGCGAGGCAGCGCAGGGTTGAGCCAGTACGCGCCGGGCGTGCTCAAGTCGGTGAGCCTAACACGCCAGCAGGCGAGCCTGTTGCCTCACCTGCCCTCTCCACACCACTCTCGCCGAAGCACAGCGCCGCGCCGCAGCGCGAGAGGCCCTTCGCCGATGCCGCCGTCCAGGCACGCGTCCGCGACGCCGTCGATCTCCTCGTCCAGCCAGCCCTCCTATGCACGCGTAGGCGTGTGGGCAGCGTCTCTCCCGCGCCACAGCGTCGGCCTCTCGTCCAGCCAGCCCTCCTCCTCCGGCGGCACACCGACCGCCCGCATCCCGGCACCTAGCGCCGCCGCCGTCGCGCCCAGCGAAGTGACCAGGACGACGCAGCGCGCCGCCACCGGCTCGCGACCCCACGCGGCGCCGGTCGCACCGGCAAAGCCCGCGGGCGCCGCGATGTGCATCGACTCGCGCAAGGATGTGAGCTCCGCCACGGTCGGCTCGGCGGCACGAGTCGGCCATGTGACGGCGCCTGGCAAGGGCTCGTGCTCTGGGCTGCCGGGCGGCTCGAGAAGCGCGACCAGCGCGCCGTCGTCGCTAGCCTCGGCAAGCAGCCGCGAGACGCCGCACCGGAGTCGTGAGGTAGGCTGGTCGACGGCGCTCGAAGTGGTGAAGATGAGGGCCTCGCAGCGGTCGATATTTCGCAGCATTTTCGCCGGAGCGGATCGACGTGACGCTGGAGCGGGCCGAGCGGCGCAGAGGAGCAGCATGGAAGACGAGCTTGCGAGCTGCGCGAGACTGCTCTGCGCAATGCAAGCAGGCGCAGAAGGAGCTCGCCGTGACACGATGCCGGGCGGTGGTGGTGCTCTGGCGGCTGTGCACAGTGGGCAAGGTCAGGCTGCAGCAGGGCAGCACGATGGTAGTGCCCAGTCGGCGAAAAATGTTGACTGTATGAGAGGAAGAGGCTGCCGTGCGAGCCGGCAGCTGGCTGGCTAGTCGTGCGTGGACTGCCTTCGAGCACTTGGAGTGCAGTCAGTCATCAGCCTCACATCCAGGGCCGGGGAGCTACCGCCGCCGGCGTCTTCTTCTCGAGGTTCTCGAGGTGGATATCCTTTGGCCGCGTTGGGTAGCGAGGATTGGTGTGACGCGATCCACGCAGGCGTGTTTTCTGGCGGCCGACCGTCAGTGCGCGGAGTTGCCCCTTCTCCGACTGCCCCGGCAATTCCCGAGGTCGTCGGGTGTGACCCCTGCGTCCCCCGAGACCTAGCGCGGGTGGGTTGGAGGGGGCTCGCTGCAGGGAAGGGCGGTGTAAGAAGCCGATCCCCGTAGTCCGCCCCGCTCCTCCCCATCGGGCCGCATGAGCGGCCACGCCTCGCAGATTCGTTTTCGCTCCTGGGTCAGGCGCGCGGGGCATCCCCCGGGTCGCTCGACCAGCGATCCGAAGAGTGGCCGCTATGCGAAGGAAAGAGCGGGGCCTCGACGCCTCAGTCCGGCCCTCCGAGGGGGGAAGGGAATTGCGGGGTCCCCACGGGCGCCTCTCTTCGGCCCTCCCGAGGGGGGGATGGGAGCAAGGGGGTGGGGGTGCGATCGGGGCGGTGGGGAGGGGTCTCAGATTTTGTGGGTCTAATACTTGGTTGCCTTTCGGGGAGGGGAGAGCCCACAGGAGAGTTGGGAGCCGCGGCACTAGACCGCGCCGCCAGCAAGGCGAGAGCAGCAGCCGACGACCAGCCGACATGGCAGTTGCAACGGCGCGAGAAAAACCGGCGTCTTCTTCGGCTTTTTCTCTGATATCTCGATAGTACCGTATCTAGATAGTACCGTTTCGTTTACCCACACTAAGCGAGTAATGGCGCGGTTCACGCCTCGCACAACAGAGAGAGAGAGATGCGCTCTGCATGGTGGGACATAAAAGAGAGCGAGTACTTGGGCGAGTAGGCTGTGCGGTCAACGCTGCCGCGCGCGACTTTGCGCGCGAGGCGGCGCAGCTTGAGAACGGCGGTGGGCGAGAAGCCGCCGCCGAACGTCTCGTGGAGCAGCAGGTTGAAGTTGTTGCGCTTGGAGCATGCTCTTGACAAAGATCGCGTCGTGGTAGAAACCACGATGCGCCTTGACGTAGTTTGGTTGTCGCTTTGGTCCGTACCGAGCGGTGTAAGTCGCTCCTTATTCCTCCTCGGGGTCACTCCCGCGAAACTCGTGAACTAGCCGGGGCAGTCGGAGAAGGCGCAACTCCGTGCACTGACGGTCGGCCCTCGACATTGCGTCTCATTTTTCGTCCTCGCAGCCGATTGGAAGAGGCGCCGTCCGCACGCACCGAGCGCCACTCAGCAGTGGTGTTCATGTCTTCCCGGCTCGCGTTGTGTATCATCTGGCTGCTTGTCGTGTACGCTCAATCCGCTTACGCGGGCCACGCCCGTCACCCGCACGAACGCAGTCGCAACTCCACTGCGTTTGGGCGACACCAGCGCACGGACACTTTGGCGACGCAAGCGCAGCGCATAATGCCCGAGCTTCGTCCAGTCGGACCATGCCTATTGCCCGGCCTCGGGCGGCTCTGCGGCGTCACGAGGGCACGGCTCGTCGTCATGATGGCCGCCGCTGGCCGAATGAACCGAACGGTGCCCGCCGCTCCTTTTGCTGCCATTGCTGGCGTTGCCGCTTTGCTCGCCTACGTGCGTGCGCGTCTCCGCCGCGGCCACCGGCGTGAGGATGCGCGGCTGGAGGACGGGGCGGGGCGGAACAGCTTCGATAACAGCTTGCCTTCTCGGCTCGAGATCCTCGCGCACTACTGGAGCTGCCCTCGGCTCACTCTGCGCGCGCCCGTCGGCGCTCTCAAGGGCTGGGTGCTGGCGACACTTTGGCTCGAGCTCGCACTCTTCACGGCCCCCGAGCTGTGCGTCCTCGCCGTTCCCGAGGTCGTTGAGCTGTACTCCGGCGTGCTCCCGTACCGCCAGGACAAGCCCGACCTGCCGCATCTGGTCGAGTGGCTGCTGCCCGGCATGGCCTCTGCGAGTGTGCACGGCTCAACGTCGATGGGCGACTGGATGGGCGGCCCTCCGTCGCCGCTGGTAGCGTCGCGCGTGACGTGGCTGAGGTGCGTGCGCCAGGCCCTCCTGGTGGGCTGGATCCTCTTCTTGCTCATCCCTCTCTCGGACTGGCCGCGGGCAGCGACGGCCGCCTTTGCAACTGGCGCCGCCGCCTATTTCCTACTCGGCACGATCGGGCTCCTTTACGACCCTTGCCACAACATCCAGGCGGACGCACCCAATATCCGCGACCGGGGGCACTGCGCACTCTCCGTGTGTGCGAGGGAGTCACGCTCTTGATCACCCACCCACACCCACACGCACACACACACTCCCTGCCACACCGCTCACCCACGCGCACTGGGCCTTGCACTTTCATGCCGTGTGCGGCTCCTGTCGTCCAGACGTGGAGACGCGAGCACCGCGCCTCCCCCTTGCCCCACCACCTTGTGTGTGTGGAGAAGCTTACCTTGCCTTACCTTACCTTCTTGATCTCGATCACAGGCCTCCCTCCTCTTTGTCGTTGTCGCCGCATTCGCCGTGCCCGACTTGGCCTCCAACCCTCGCAGCGCGGCGTGGCTCCGCCACACAAGTCTTGTGGCGGTCTTGGTCCCGGTCTACCTCTTCTCGGGCATCTCCAAGGTGCGATACAGCGGTGTGTTGCACCAGATTACAGGCCCGCCTCTCTGCTCGCCCTCCTCCACCCCGCGGGTCCTGGCCGCTTTTGCCGCCGCACCGCTTCTCCTCGACCTCTCCTCTATAGGCGATTGGCTGTTGGCGGTGCGTGGAGACAAGTACGGGCTCGGCGACGAGAAGGTTGTCCGCGCACCGTTGGCCGAGGTCTCGCTCTACATCGCGCGCAGCCCGTGGCTCTGTATGCTCTTCTCCTGGGGAAACCTCCTCGTCGAGCTCGCGCTGCCGGTCGCGCTGCTCTACCTCCTCGCGAGGCGCGAACGCGGCTGGCGGCTCCGAGTCGTCCTCCCTCTCTTCGTGTTCGGCGCCTTCGGTTTCCACGCGAGCATCCTCCTCCTGATGGGGCCCAACTTCCTCCGCATGTTTCCGCTGCTCGTCCTGGCACACTAACACACAAACCATTAGCCTTCCCTCTATAAGCAGGTGCCTCATTCTTAGTGGGTACCTAATAATCAGCTTGTTATTAGCTGGTTTCGTGTTGTTAGCTCGATGACAGCTAATAAACGGCTGGTAAGCAGCTAATCACCAGCTAACAAGCAGGCTCACAATTGGTGCGGTGGCTGATAACGCGCCCGGGCGTTATATTAGGTAGTTGACCCGGTTGGCATGCTCGGCGCGTCGAGTACCCAACCAGTCGACCGCCAGGGAGGTGGAGCTATTTGGCGCTCCCGCCCATCAGCTCTCGACCTCTGCCGCGCGCCGCTCCCGCTCGTGCTTCTCTGCGGCTGGTGGGCCGTGCAGATCCGTGCCGACCTCCTCGGGTTGGTCCGCTACGGCTTCTTCCCGCACGACGCAGTTCCGCAGTGGTCACGGCCGATCACGCAGGCCCCAGCGCCCCACCTCTCCCGGGCGTGCCCTAGCAAGGCACTGCCCGGCAGATCTCATCCCCCCCCCCCCTCTCTCGCAGGCGCACTATGTCGTGCGGGCAAACCCCTACTGGCCCTTTCCGGAGCTCTCGATGTTTGCGATACCGAAGTCCCCGAATTTCGTCGTCTCATTTGCGCTACTGTCGGCAGTCGGCGGCACATATGTCGTGATCGCTACGCGTGCGGCTGTGAGGCTCGTCGCAGGATGAGGGTGTGTGTGTGGGGGGGTGCGTGATCCACATGTCTCTAGTGCAGGAGGCTGCGTGGGAGGGCGACGCGTAGGCCTCCTTGTTCGCCCGGCACACCAACCGCGGGCCACTTATCGCCGGCGAGTGCTACCTGACCAAGCCAGGCGGTAGCAGCTGCTCGAGCGCAGCGATCTGCTACGCCAAGCGCTATCGGGCCGTAGCCCGCAAACTCTGCCACGAACAGAGGGCGGGGGGTGAACGGGGGTAAATGGCTGTGACGGCTACGTACGTAAAGGCTGGGGAAGGACCCTGAGTTGCACAGGGGTTGTGCGCCAGGCCCTCCTGCTCGGCTCCAGCGAGTAGACAAGTGTTGTCATCAACAGAATAGAAGGATCTGACCTCAGGGCCGATGTGGCCAAGCGCTGGTAGCGTGGTTTTACCTCACACCCATGGTCTCACAGTGTGCCGGCAGTCGCCGGAGCAGGTGTCGGAGTCGCTCACACAAGCGCATACGGCACGTATGATTTAAATTGTAAAAGCCCGTGTATAACTGCATGCGCTACACCCTACACCAAACTTAATAGGGCTACCATGTAAGGGAAATCGCGCAATCGTCCGGAGAGAGGGCTCGCGTGGCAAATCAGAGGTCGTCGCTGCTGCTGCCCTCCGACGAGGCGCCCCCCTCGCGGTCGCTGGCGAGGTCGGCAAGCGTCGAAAGCCTGGCACTGGCGCGCATCATGGCCGAGTAGCCAAGCGCTTGCCCGGCGCCAGTCCGGTACAGCCCGGTCGTCGCGTTGTCCTCCCAGGCGGACACTTTGCGCTGCCGGAGTTCTTCTCCGCACTGCAGCACAGGCGCTAGCTCAGCGGCGGACACGATCGCTGGCTTTGGCGCCTCCCCAGGTGACGTGCGGACGCGGTACGCGCGGACGCGGCAATGGTACTCGATGCCGGCCACCGCAGGGCACCGGAATGGAGGGACATCCACTTCCTCTGGCGCTCCCGCCGTCTGCGTCCACCAGGCGACGGGGGCGAACTGCAGCGCCTTGTTGAAGTGCTTACACTTTTGCCTCCTCTCGGCCTTCCCGGCCGGTTGCGGCGGCGCTTGCGTGAGCGCCCCCAGGAACTTGCCAGTCATTACCACAGTCGAGCTGCCATTATCATAGCGCGCCTCCACACACCCCTCGTGACTGAGGTCTACATCGATTCTCGTCGAAGGTTCTGGAGCAAAGCTCGGCGCAGTCGCGGTGCCGAAGAAAGACCACGGCCCAATCTTGAAGTGGGCGCTCTCGTAGCCGCCCGTGAGCGGATAGCCGCCCGTCGCGTCCTCCATCCACAGTCCATCGCCCGGCGGAAGGCAGCCGAACCCCGCGGTCGGGCAGAAGAACTGCTTCGTCGGGTTGACGCTCGGATCGCCCGACCAGTTGTGCAGGTACGCCTGGTAGTGCGCCGCAGCACCGCCGCCCTTGAACTCGTCGATCCACTCCTTCCAGATGGACTGGTCGCTGTGGCCATGTTTGTTGGCCACGTCGGGCATCCCCGCGGGAGGCGGGTAGTCGGTCAGGCCGGCCATCATGTCGTCGATGGTCGCCCGGTGAACCCGCCAGCACCGCCGGAAGTTGACGTGCGTCGGCTCTCCGGGCTTGAGCACGTCGGTCTCGACCGCGTAGTGTACGTGCAGCAGGGCGTAGTCGACCGCTGACAAGCCGTGCGGCCAGCTCTCGTAGTAGTAGGCTCGAGAGGGGCCGGCCTTGCAGTCAAAGGCGTAGCTCGCGATGCAGCGGAACTCGCCTTGCGCAATCGGCTGGCCCGCAGCGGCGGTCGACAGCTGCATCGCCTTGCCGCCGGACTCGACGAACAACCGCCCGAAGAAGTGTGCGACATTCTGTCCGCGTTCGTCGGGCGTGCTAGCGGGTCCGGGCTGCTGGCTGTAGGCGCCCTCATAGTTGTGGTAGCCCCGAGTGGCCTCGCCGCCGCCCACGCCACTGCCAGCAGCCTCGACGATGCCGCCGCTGAAGATACCGCCACTGCCGCCACTGCCGCCGCCGCCGCCGCCGCCGCCGCCGCCGCCGCCGCCGCCGCCAGCTCCACCGCCGCTTCCGCCGAGGAGCATTCGAGGTACACCAGCGCCGACCCTGTCCCCATCGTGCGGAGAAGGGCGTCTCAGCTCGTAAATTGGCGCATCGACGAGTGGCGGGGGGCCAATCTGAGGCGACGGCCGAGGCACGTTAAGGATCGCGCACTTGGCCTGCTCAAACGCGAGCTCGTAGCGCCCTGAATGGCAGTATGAGCGGAAGAAGGCAGCGGAGAATGCGCGCGCTGCTTCGTCGTTGACATCCGTCTCCCAGCAGATGACGCACTCTATCCCCTGCTGCTGCAGCCTCTGGCCGAGTTCCAACGTGTTGCAGCCGTTGAGAAAAATGAGCTGCGGCGGGTTGGGCAGCTGGGTAAAGAAGGTGACCAACGCGTCATTGTCGACCCTCTGGAAGCGGCCATCCTCGGTAGTGAAGCCGAGAGTGGGCCCGGATCCATCCTCCAGCCCGTGACCGATGAACAGGAAGCAGCGCGGCGTGCGGCTGAGGAGCTCGTCCTGCAGCTGCTGCGATGTGCCGCCCTGCTGTATGTGCACCGGTCGAGAGCTCACGAGAGCGGCAACCTCCTGCACCGAGCGCGCCTCGTCGTGAGCGTGCTGCAGTGTCTTCGCGGCCGGGCTGCTGACGAAAATGAGCAGGTCTCGCTCGAACCGGAGGTCAAGGGGCGGGCCTTGCTCCCAGTTGGGGAACACAAACGAGAACGGCTCGTGAGCAGGCGGCAGAGTTGGCTCGATGCCGAAGACGAGGGCCTCCACCTCGCAGTCGCCGCGGCGGGCGTTGACGAAGCCGCGCATCTCCCGAGTTGCCAGGGCCCCTCGCCACGGGCCGAAGCTGGTCGTGCACTCGAGGAGCTGCATCGTCACTTCGGCGCCTCGAGGCACGCATAGGTGATGGTCGCCACCAAGCGTGAAACGTTCGTACGTGAGGTCGCGCGAGCGGCCGGTCGGGTCCGGCTCGAGTGCAAACTTGATGCGTCGCCGCCGGAAGGGTGGCTCGACGTGATCGGAGACGAAGACGTACGCGCGCACAAGCTCCCCTTCGCGTGCGCCCTGCTCCTGCCCGATGAGCCCAGCCTCCGCGCCGCCTCCGCTCGATGGCGCCTTGACAGCTGGCGCGAAGCCCGAACCAGCGAAGCTATCGAGCGTGGAGAGGATCGCGGAGACAACACCTTCCGGCATCGGCGCACCGGGCATCCATTCCATGTACTTGATGCTGCCACCCCGCGGCCCGAGCTTGAGCTGTGTCGAGCTCACCTCAAAGCGGTCGCACATCTTGATCAAAAAAAGGGGCTTCGGCGTCTCTAAGATGTACTGAAGCTCCTGCTCGGTGCTGAAGGTACTTGGCGTCGGCGAGCCATAGGTCCTTGTGCCCATGACGATTGCGAGGCGGCAACCGACAAGCGCATCGCTGATGATCCTGTCGATGCGCGATCCGAAAGGATTGTTGCCGCTCACGAAGCACCTGACGCCGGGGCGCACCGCCTCGATCGCCGCCTTCATTTCAAGCGCCTGGTCCTTCGCCTCGCTCAGTCGCAGCGATACAAAGATGTCCGCAAAGGCCATCACGAGCCGCTCCGCGGAGGCGTCGCTCGCCACCGAGAAGGGCGCGGCCACTCCCGGTGGCGCCGGTGGCGAAGCCACGGCCGCCTGCGGCGCCGCCGCAACGGCCGCCATCGCGCAGCCCGCCGCCTCGGGCAGCACGCACCCTAGCACGAGCTCGGCGCACATGCGAGCAAACGGAGTGTCGCTCTTCACACCGCCGCCCTTGAGATCCCACCAGAGCGTCGTCTGGAAGAGGAGCATCTCGTCGAGTGTCTGCTTGATCGTGCGGCTCTCGGCTTTGTTCGAGAGCTCGAGGCCGACGTGCTGCGCACAGTCGCGGACCGCCGCGAGCGTGGCTGCGGAGACGGAGTCCTTCAGCCGCCCCTTCGAGCCGTCGGTGAAGAAGTCGGACATCGCGCCGTTGGGCTGCCGCTTGCCGATCAAGATGGGCTGGATCGCCTGCACGCGGCCCGCCTCCTTCAGCGCGAGCGCCAGCTGCCACTCAACGAGCAGATAGTCCACTTCGTCCACGCCATTGTCCGGGTCGAGGTGCTCCATCCCCTCGATCGCACCGTGCGAGATGAGCGGCACGACCACGCTCGATGCGGCGAGGCCCTCAGCAAAACTGAGGTCATACCGCTTGCCCATCTGTAGCCGCTCGCGGTCGAGAAAGACTCGCAACTGTCGGCCGTCCTTGCCGATGGTGCGCGCGCTCAGGTCGTGGTAGAGCAACTGCGCGAGCGTCGACTCGGACTCCTGCCGATAGCCGATGAAGGCGTCGTACGAGCTCACCGTCTCGGGCGGCACCCACGGCGCAAAGTCGGCGCGCGTCAGCTCGCGCTTCGTCCGCGAGTGGTGGATGGGCCAGCGCTCACGCAACTTGCGCTTTGCTTCCCGCAGCTCGAAGCACTCGCCCTCGATGTCGACGAGCAGCCGCACGCGCAGCTCGCTTATCCACTCGGCGCAGACATCGCTCGCAAGCTGGGCCACCTGCTCGGCGACGGCGGTAGGGTACGCGTCGCGGATGAGCACGACCACCTCGTGCGACGCCTCGTCGCGGCGGAGTAGGAAAGGCTGTCCGCTAAAGACGAGTAGCGCCCAATCGCGCGTCAGCTTGTTGAGCGATTCCGCGCACCCGCCGCGCCGATTGAGCACCATGGAGTACTGCTCGCACTTGACAAGCAGGCGCGCCCAGAGCGACTCCGGCAAGAACAGTATCTCGCCGTTGGCCGTGCCCCCCAGCTCGAGGTAGAGCCAGCATTTGTGCGCATCCGCGCAACCGTGCGCATCCGCGAAGCCCGAGGCCTCGGCGGCGTCGACGGCGGGCAGCACGGACGGCACGAGGTAGCGTGTCTTCTCGCCGGGGAGCGGGCATGCGAGCCCGAGCTTCTCGAGCAACTGCGTCAGGTGCGGGATCATAGCCTTGTGCTCGTGCCACAAGCGGTGCAGCAGCCGCTCGCTCACGATGCCCTCGCGCTTGAGCTGCTTCCAGTCGGCCGCGAGCTTTCGCGCCTCCTTATCGCTCTTCTGCGGGTGCAGCGCGTAGTCGCGCACGACCGCGCTGATACGGTCGACGACAAACTGCGGGTCGAGCGTCACCCACTCGCGTAAACCACCGTCGCTAAAGTAGAGCAGCATGCCGAGCTGGTGGAAGAGCTGGAGGGCCGCCTCAAGCTGCTCCTCGGAAAGCGACGGAGCAAGCTGCGCCACCTCCGATCTGCGAAGCACAGGCGCCGGGTTCGCCGAGTTGGTCGCCGCGGCCTGCAGCTGGTCGTGCAGATCGTACCACGCCAGAGGCACGGGTGTCTGCACAAACTCCTCCTCCTTGAGGATGGCGTCCACTTTCCCCTTCAGCCGCTGCAGGATCGGGTCGGCGGGGCGGCGCGAGTTGTCGACGGGGAAGAAGCAGAGGTCCTCCTCCTCGTCCTCACCGTTCCACTCGACATCGAGGCACCAGCCCTCGCCCATCCCGAGCAACATGCCCGAGCCGTTGGCAGCGTTGTCATCGCCGAAGGCTTCCTCGAGCCGCGCCGCGATGGCGCGGTGCTGCGCGGCGCTCGAAACGCTGTCGCCGTGCGTGCCGACGAGGAGAACCTTGGCACCGCGCGCGTGCGTGAAGAGCGAGCACAGCCAGAAGCGCAGGAAACGCACGCAGCCAACGACGTCGTACACCGGCCGGCTGCCCTTGCTCGGCTCGGACTCGTCAATGGGCTCGGTCGCGCCCGTGTCGACGAGGCGGCGCATGTCGAAGACGACAAGGTACACGGCGTTGCGCGTGAGGAAGAGGTGGTGCAGCGTGTAGAAGACGCGCTGCCCGCCAAGGTCATAGATGATCAGCCGGATCTCCTCCTCAACCCCGTCGCGCACGAACCTGCTCACCGCGTCCATGTCGAGCCGGCGCACCGCGTGCTCTTCTCGGTCCTCCTCCTCCCTCCTCCGTCCCTCTTGCTGCTGCTGCTGCTGCTGCTGCTGCTGCTGCTGCTGCGGCTGCGGCTGCTGCTGCTGCTGCTGCTGCTGCTGCGGCGGCTGCGGCGGCTGCTGCTGCGGCTGCTGCGGCGGCGGCGGCTGCTGCGGCTGCTGCGGCTGCTGCGCCGGCGGCTGCTGCTGCGGCGGCTGCGGCGGCTGCTGCTGCTGCTGCTGCTGCTGCTGCTGCTGCTGCTGCTGCTGCTGCTGCGTTGGCGCCGCCTCCTCCTCCGCTTGCCGCCGCTTCTCTTCATCGACCGCCTCCCTCACGGCCGTCGCCATAGTCGCGCCGCGGTCGATGCGTTGCGCGATGGAGCGTCCGAGGCGAGCGGCGGTATTCTTGTCCTCAAAGAGCGCCCGCTCAGCGTCGCCGAGCTCGAGCTCGCGCAAGCTGCTCGCCAAGGCCTTGGCGAGCTCGTCCGCCAAACCAAGCAGCCCGAGCTTGATCGGCTGCCAGCTCTCGGCGAGCTCGCGCGAGACGGTGCACGCCTCCGTCGACGCCAAGTTCGTCGAAGCCTCCGAAGCGTTGAAGGGTTGGCCGAGCAGCGCTCGCATCGTCGACGTCTTGCCTGCGCGCCCCTCACCGACCAACATCAGCTTGGCGCAGTTCCACGGCCGGCTGCCGCCGAGCAACGCCTCGGCGAGCGCGGACGACGGCTCCTCCTCACGCACACCGCCGCCGGCCATCGCGATCGCCACCTTGTTGTCGGCGTTGAGAGCGAGGTAAGCCAGCGCCTTCGCGGCCTGCTGCTTCTGCCCGTCCGTGCCGTTGCGAGCCAGCGCCACCAGCGGCGCGATGCCACCCGCCTTTGCGATCGCCCGCCTTTGGTTGTCGGCGTTGGCAGCGAGGCGCATCAGCGCCCCCGCGGCCTGCTCCTGCAGCCCGTCCTCTCCGCTCTGCAGCTGATCCACCCATTTCCACACCTCCGAACGGGCGACGACGATCGATCCCTCCTCGACCCAGAGCACCTCGATCGCGTCGTGCGAGACGCGGTGCGGCCGCAACGCACGCTGTACGTGCCTGGTAATCTCGCCGCTGGCGGCCTCCCTGAAGGCAGCGGATAAGTCGAAGCTCTCGCTGCCGCTCGCGCTGGCGGACTCAGTAGTCTCGCGCTCGTAGCTCAGGTCCCTGCTCGTCGACCTCGACGCGTAGCCCTGCTCGTCGACCTCGACGCGGACGAAGAGGCTCATCTGCACCTCGTGCTGATGACGGCCGCCTGACCAGTGCTTGACCAGTCTGACTTTGAACTGGTCGTCGGGCCGCAGCTCGAGCTTCTCGGCGAGCATCTCCTTGAACTGCTCGATATCGAAGGGCGGCGGACCGGTTAAGCTGCCCGCCTCGAGGGTGATGGTAAGGATGGTGGAGGCGCCGCTGCTGCCTGATGAGGCAGAAGAGAAGCGGCTCTTGCTGCCGCTCGCGCCGGCGGGTTCCAAAGAGCTTGACTCGTAGCTCAGGTAGCCCTGCTCATCGACCTCGACGCGGACGAAGAAGCTCTGGCTCGTCTGCACCTCGTGCTGCCCACGGCCGCCTTGCTTGACCAGTCTGACTTTGAACTGGTCGTCGGGCCGCAGATCGAGCTTCTCGGCGAGCCTCGTCTTGAACGCTCCGCTGTCGAAGGGCGGCGGACCGGTTAAGTTGCCCTCGAGGGTGATGGTAAGGATGGTGGAGCCTGATGAGGACAGCATTGCGCTGCGCTCTTCCCCCGCGGCCGCCCCGACGACGATCGATTCCTCCTCGAACCAGAGCACCTCGATCGCCTCGGCCGCGACGCGGAGCGGCCGCAACGCACGCTTTATGACCATGGTAATCTCGCCGCTGGCACCCTGCCTGAAGGCAGCGGAAAAGTCGGAGCTCTCGCTGCCCCCTGATGAGGATAGCGTTGCGCCGCGCTCTTTCCCCGCAGCCGCCGAGGGGGGCGTGGCAAGAGCAGCCGAGTGCTCCTCGAGCTGCTGTCGCGATGACGAGGCCGCGTGCAAGAGGGGAGCTGCTGAGTGCTCCTCGGCGGAACGGGTGGAGTGCTCATCGAGCTGCTGTCGTGAAACGACGTCGAGAGGCACGATCGGAAGCGTCGTGAGTCGCCGGTCGCGCCGAATCGCGTCGCGCATTGCCAGCGCATGCTTCACCTTCAGCTGCGCCGCCTCTAGCCGCAGGTTCGCCTCCAGCTCCATGAGACCAAGATCGGCCTCGCGATGCTGCCGCGTCTCCTCCGCCTGCTGCTGCACCTGCTGCTGGGCCTGGACCTGCGCCTCCAACTGCATCGCCTCCCTCAACTCCTCAAACGCCGGCGTCTGAAACGTCATGCGGTGCACTTCGTCGATGGCCTGCAGCATCGCCTCGCACGACGAGGCGTCCAGCGCCCTCACGTGGTCTTTTGCAAACGCCTGGAGCATCGAACGAAGCCGCCGGTACTCCTCCAGCGGCAGCGTCAGCCGGCCGGGGTTGGCGGCGTGCGCGATGAGCTGATTGCAGAAGTCGTTGATCGCCTTGAGGTCGTCCCGCAGCGACGCCGGGCAGCCCAAGTCGAGCCAATGGTCCGTCCAGACGCTCATATGCAGCCCGCCGTCCCACTTCTCCGGCAGCCCCGCCCTCAGCTTGTCGGGCGCGTTGCCCTTTGTAGCCTCCGAGCCGGGCCGGCAGCCGAGCACCGTTTGCCGCAGCACTCCCAGCTCCACATCGAGCGCGCCGCTGCAGGCGGGGTCGACAGGCAGCCGCGACGCGCTATACTCGGCAGCACGCTTGCCCGGCGTCACGCGGTATTCGCCCAGCAGCGAGCCGCCCGGCGCACGCAGCGTAAAGCGAACGCGCTGAGGGAGCTTGCCGCTCAAATCCTCTGCGGTCAGCATGATCGACGCCGAGCCGCGCTCGAATGTCACGGTGCCGGGGAGCTCGAGCTCAAAGGACGGCGAGCCGTCGACCAGGAGGCCGCCTCGCGATGCGTCCCACGGCAGATCCGGGTAGCGCCGATTCCACAGCGCTTTGAAGCGGGGAGCGAAGAGGTGCTCGGGCGCGGCGGAGAGGAGCAGCCGCGCCGCGCGCACCCAGTACAGCTCGTCTCTACGCGCGTCGACGTCCGCTGGTTGGAGCTCCATTGTCCCTAACCTGTTGCAGCGTGCATCCCGGCAAGCGCCGATTGAAAGAAAAACCCACGTGGGGGCGCTCTCCTAGTTCTCCTGCTCCTGACAAGGGACGTCTTTCCCTTAGTCCGGCACCCCGCCATCATACACGTCTTTGCGTTAGTCCAGTTGGAGCACTTGCGCGCATAACCTCTTGCGACCCAGGTTCCGACCCTCTGCGTGGCCGACTCACACAGCGAGCCTTCCTGTCTCCGTGCTGCCGATTCATCGGTCGTGCTCAGCCAAGGTATTGTAGAGACCGACCATATGCACAATATCTTGACTGAGAGCTAAGCCCAGTTCGACGATCGGCAGCCTCACCGCGGGTCGCGCCGCTGTGCAGCGAGAGAGAGCCAGGCTCGCCCGGCGAAGCCGAAGGTGACCAGAGAGTGCTCAACAAATACCAGAAAAATCAGGGAGCCTCAGAGAGTGCCACTGCCATCACCCAGGCCGCGGGAGCCGATCGGCTGCGCCGAGGACAGCTCCCTCAGTGTGCTCCGCGGCTCACCAGTGTGCGCCGCGGCGCCGTCCTCCCACTTTCTTTGGCGGCCAGCCACCGGTCGAGTTCTTCGACTCTGGAGGACAGAAAGGTACCGTCTGAAAGGTATTTTCATGCTCTATTGACTGGCGAAAAGCATCGGTCAGATTTTCAGGCGTAGCCTGAAGTCCGTCGCGACGCACTCAATCCCTCCCGAGCGAAAGCCTGTGGCTCTCTCGAACTCGTCGATATATTGCGAATAAACTGCTCTTCCCGCATAGCTTGCAGAGTCAGAGGCGCAGAAAGGCTACGAGTGTTCGACGAGTCTTGCGAGCTGCGCGGTCAAACCTGGGGGGGACTGACCGCATCAAGGCGGACTTCCGAAACCTGGGTGAGCACCTCTGGCAGTTCTCGCTCCCCATCGAGCTCTTCTTGCCGCACGGCTCTTCTGTGTGCCGGCACAGAGCTCCGTGCAAGCCTTCCAGCGTGATAGGAACGAGTGTATCGCTTTGACGGATCGACCGTGCTTGTTATCCACATCGATGTGACGCACACAGTGACACATCAACGACACACATTCTCCCACCCGCCGGGACGCAAAACGCTCTCGACGAGAGCCACAAGAAGGCGACCACACAGCAAGCCGCTCGGTCGATCACGTTGCTCGCTCGATGCCGGCGAGCGCATGGCGCACGCCTTGGACGGTGGCGAAGCCAAAAACACCGGCAGTGGCCGTCCGCTGGCGTGAGCGGCGGCGGTCGAGACCTCACCCTTCGCGCCGACGACCCAACCTCACGCGGAACAACCCAACCCAACCCAACAACCCAACCCAACCCAAAAAGCACGATTCTCAAGTTGGGCCCTCAGGTTGCACCCGGCGGCACGGGGGCAGGCGCGGGCCCTCCTACTGGTTGCGCTCTCCTAGTTCTCCTGCTCCTGACAAGGGACGTCTTTCCCTTAGTCCGGCACCCCGCCACATAGATCTACATCTACACGTCTTTGCGTTAGTCCAGAGCACTTCGGCGGTAAAATTCTTCAAGCCCGCATGAGCGCCATCTCGATGCGCAGTAGTTCTACCCTCGAGTCAGTCAGCCCCTCGCGGCGGCTAGACGCGACCTACGAGCTGCTCGAGACGAGGCTCGGCCGCGGACAGTTCGCCGAGGTGCGGCTCGCGCTCCGCAAGGGGCGGCTCAACGAGCGCGTCGCCGTCAAGCTGCTGCCGCGGGTCAAGGTGCCCGAGGCCAAGCTGGCGCGCGAGCTGGAGGTGCTCCGCGCAGTGTCGGAGCTGCGGCACCCGGCGCTGGTCACGCTGCTCGATGCGTACCAGACGCCGTCCGAGCTCCAGCTCGTCCTGCAGCTCCTTCCGCGCGGCAGCCTGCTCGACCTCGTCGTCGAGCGGCGCCGGCCGCTCCCCGAGCCGGAGGCGCGGACCATCGTGCGGCAGGTGGCGAGCGGGCTGGCGGCGCTGCACCGCGCCGGGATCGTCCATCGCGACGTCAAGCTGCAGAACGTCCTGCTCGACGAGGATGGTTGCGCCGTGATTTGCGACTTTGGCTGCTCGCGCTTTGCTCCACCGCCTTCGGCGCCGCGGCTGGGCACGGCGGGCGCGGCGGGCGCGGCGGGCGCGGCGAGGCCTGGCTCTCCGTCTGCCGCGCCAGGGCAATGCCGCTCTCCGCGCATCGACTCGCCTTGCGGCACGCCCGGCTTCATCGCCCCCGAGATGCTCGGCGAGAGCGGTTACGACTTTGCCGCCGACGTCTGGGTGGTCGGCGTGGCCGCGTATCCGCCCCGCTCTCGGCGCCTTCGAGGAGCCTTCTCGGAGCCCTCCCCGTAGGCGCTCGGCGTGGTTGCGTACGTGCTGCTGACGGGCCGGCCGCCCTTCGACATCCCTCCGGTGACGTGGCGCGAGCCAAAGGGGCGGCCGCACGCCGGCTCCCGGCCCGCCTCTCGCCCCGCCTCGCCGGGCGTCGCCGCCGCGGGGACGGCGGGGCTAGCCGCCGGCGCGGGCGGCGGCTGCGGAGGGTGGCACGCGCCGCCGGCGTCGTCGCACGCAGCGGCGTCGCACCTTCCTCCCTCCCCGCACCCCGCCGCCTCTCCGCCCTCGGCCGTCGGCGCGGCCTCCGTCCACACCTCGCCGGCGCCGCAAGCCGGCCAGCTGGAGAGGTGAGCCACTGTAGAGAGCAGACTGCCGCCACCGTTCTTCCCACGGGGGTCGATCGGGCGGAGGAGCTGACTTGTGGTGGTTTACATGTGCAGGCCTCCACTGCCGACCTTTCGGAGCGGCCGCAGAGGCGGCAAGGCGGAGGCGGCGCAGCAGGCGGCGCAGGGGTGGAACAGGCACGCGCGGCTGCAGCAGGAGGCGCCAGCAGCCGCAGAGGAGGCGCGAGACACGGCGGCGAGCCTCGACGCCGCCTCCGCCGCCCCCACCCCCGCCACCCCCACCGCCGTCCCTGCCGCTGCTGCCGCCGCCGCCGCCACCGCCGCCACCGCCACCGTTTCCTCCGCTTCCGCCGCCGCCGCCACCGCCGCCGCTGGCTCCGCCCCCGCCGCCTCCGGCCCTGCCTCTGCCCCGGTCTCCTCCTCCGCCGCCTCCGCCGACGGGGTGGACGCTTGCGTCGCGGCGTCGCACACTGGCGGCGAGCAGGCCGAGCGCACGCCTCCTTCTCCCCACGCCGCCGCCCCCGCTCCCGCCGCCCCCGCTCCCGCCGCCCCCGCTCCCGCCGTCCCCCCCGCCGCCCCTCCCGCCGCCCCTCCCGCCGCCCCTCCCGCCGCTGCCCCTCGCGCCGCTGCCCCTCCCGCCGCCGCACTTCGCGAGGCTCCCGCGGCCAGGAGAGAAGGCGCCTCCACGCCCCTCTCGTCGACCTCCCCTTTAGCCGCCCCGCGTAGGCCCTCTCCCTCCGCCGGCGAGAGGCGCCTCGCCTCGAGTCGCTCTCCCTCTCCTCTCCCGCGCGAGAGCGCGGGCCCGCGGCTGCAAGCCCCGACCCGTCCGCCTCTGAGCTCGCCGCAGCGGCAGCCGACCCGCTCGCGGCGGAACCTGCTCGGAGCCCTCTCGAGACCCCCTCGGACCCTCCTCGGACTCTCCCCGTAGGCGCCCGACTCGCCCACAGCGGAGGGCGGTGGCTCCGCCTCGCTCGGCCTGCTCGCCTAGATGTGGCAACAGTATTTGCAACGCGGGCGTTGCTCATGCGCTGCTATTCCTCGCCTCGCCCTTCCCCCGATTCCCTTGATTCCCTCCCTTATTCCCTTGATTCCCTTGACTCCCTTGACTCCCTTGATTCCCTCCGTCCTCCCTGCATCAACAGGCCTGCTCAACCGGATGCGCCGTGGCTGGGACTTTCCCCTTCCGGCGGAGGGCGCGCCCTTGCTCTCCGAGGCGAAGCCTAGACGGAGAGTACAGAGCCCGGCAGCTAGCGCTCCGACACGACACGCGCCCGGCGGTGCCCCATCGTCTTCACGCCTTGAGTGTGCAGCCCTTGTCTTCACACCTTGACCGTTTCACGCGATTGCGCCGAATGCATTCGTCTCCACACCGTCACGCTGGCTTGCCCACAACGTGCAGGCGGCGAAGCAGCTCGTGCGCGGTATGCTCGTCGAGGAGCCGTCGCTGCGCATCACAGCCGAGGACGCCCCTCGACCCACCCCTGTCTCCCCCCCTGAGGCAAACACTCATCGTCGAGGAGAGTCCGCATAGGCTGCGCTCGACCACCCCTGGCTCGCGGGCGAGCCGCTCAACGGCTCCTCCCGCACCGTGCACGCGGCGGCGCAGAAGCTGTCCAACCTCCTCGCCGACCCCGCCTGGAGGGCCGCTACGCCGGGCACGAGCGTCTGGCCCCTCTTCAGCGGCTCGCCGTGCGCCGACTCGCCGGCGGCGATCTCTCGAGCTGGCTCGCAGATGGATTTGTGCGCGCGCGAGGGGGGGGCGGGGGAGGGGCGCGGAGACGTGCGGCGCGGCGAGGCGGCGGAGGGGCTCGGCGCAGAGGGGCCAGGCGGGTTCGAGTTGGTTGGTGCGCGCGGCTACTGCGGCGCTCGGCGGCACGGCAGCAAGGAGGGCAGCAAGGAGGGCCTGAGGCCGTCCGCGGCGTGCCTCCGCGGCCGGCAGAGCTCGCGCCAGCTGCTGCCGCCCTCCTCGTCTGGTTCATCGGAGAGTGAGTCGGCAGAGCCCTCGGACGACGACCCTCTTCCCTTGCGCAGGGCGAGGTACAGGTAGGGTCTCCCGACCAAAATATATAAATAAAAAACGGACACCTGAGATGGACACCTATACAGGAGCGATGGGTAAAAAGGAAACAGCAACACCAACAGGTCCCCGCCCGTCCAAAAACTAATGCGATAACAACTAAAAAATGTGCGGTCGTTCTCGTTGCCCCCCTCATCTGTGAGGTTTGCAGCGCCGCTGGGTCGCGCGCCACACTTGTGCGCGCTTTTCTTTTGCTCTGTTTGCGCCCCTGCGTGGCCGCCACCCGCGCGCAGCCGCGTGCGTTGGGTGAGACTACCGATCCGTCAGTCGACGCACACGTTGAGGTGCTTGCACGCCTCGCTGGAGAGCTTGCTGAGCTCGGCGAGGACGCTGTCACGGGCGGCGTTGTCGCCGGGGCAGTCGAAGCGCACCATGCCTTGCGCGATGGGCAGCGCGCGGTCGGCGTACTCCTAAGGCAAGGGTGCGGTACGGTGAGGCGCCGCCCCTCCACGCGCTAGTTGCGAAGTGCCCACTCCTTGGCGGTCGCCCACTGCTTCGCGCCCTTGAACTGCTTGGCGCCCTCGAGGAACTTGCGCTTCGCCGTGTTGACAGCCGATGCGCAGCGCTTGTACCCAAAATGGTCCGTGCAGCTGCCCCAGCGCGAGTTGGGCAGCGCGCGCCGGATGGCGTTGACGAGCTTCTCGCACTCCTTGAGCACTGGCTCTAGGTCGGCGGACGGGAGGAGGGCGTAGACGGTGGCGTCGTCGACGTGGCCTAGAATGCAATCACCCCTCCATTGTGAGCCCTGCCGTCGCTGCGTGATTACCGCCACCATTCCGTTACCGGCGTCGACGAGCGAGCAGACGAGCTGCGCCAACTGCCGCGGCTCGAGCACCTCCAGACGCGGCAGCAGCGCCTTTGCCTCGGGCCGGAACGCCTTCTTTGCGCGCTCGTTGACGACTCCCTCGTGAGCGCGGCGGAACGCCGCCTCGACCGCCTTGCGCAGCGCCTCCGCGCCCATCCCGTAACCGAGAGGCGCCGACTCGATCCGCTCGGAGCGGTAGGCGGGGCCCTCCTCCTTCTGCGAGCCGCCACAGTGGTACCGGCCGATCGGCCGAGTGCCGAGGCCGGAGTAGACGGAGCGGATGGCGACCGTGACGTCCTCGCAGACCTCCGCCTTCTTGCCGGTTCCCTTGAGCCCGCCGAGCGCCACGTGATACTTGGAGACCGTGCTCTCCTTCGCAAGCGCGCTCGCAAGCGCCTTGAGTTTTGGCGCGTCCCAGGACTCCACACACCCGAGGATGAAGTCCGCCGTCAGCGTCTCGGGGAGGAGAGACTCCTGCTCCGGCTCGCGCTGCCGCTTGGCCACCACCTTGTTGCCGCTCAAAGTCGCCGGGCTCTTTTTGGTGGCAGCGGGCGCCTTTGAAGTCCCGCCGCCCGACTTTGAGCCCTTGGGCTTCCACTCCGCCTCTGAACTGACCTCGCTGTCTTCCTGGTACTCCTCGTCGGACCCGCTCTCGTCGTCGCTCTCCGGCTTGGCCGGCACCTTCTTGGCTGGCTTGCCCTTGCCCTTGCCAGACGCTGCACTCTTCGTCCACTCGGCGAGCGCCTCGGTCTTGGCCAGGTTCGCCGCCGGCTCCCACGTCTCCTCATCGTAGCCCTGCCACTTGACGAGGTACTTGAGCTTGCCACCCTTGCCTGTCTCCTCAAGGATGCGCTCGATGACGTACTCCTCCTCGGACTCGCTCTCGGACGACATCGGTCTGTTGTCGCCGCTGTTGTCGCCGCTGTGTGTTGCGCGCTTCCCGTGTGCGCGCTTCCCGCCAACGTGCAAGGAAGCGCGTATTTTTTCTCCTGAATCTCTCTGCAGCTGGGTTGACCGCGCCGACAGCTACGCCGCGAGAAGAATTCTACGAAGGCACGCGCCTCTCGAGGTTCTCGAGGTGGATATCCTTTGGCCGCGTTGGGTAGCGAGCCCCTCTCACAGAAGAATTCACTTTCACACGACAGTCGCGACAATAATCGGTTAGCCAATCTTCAGAGGCAGTAGAGACGATGGATGGTGCCGCAAAAAACGTGCCCCCAAGCTGCAGAACATGTGCAGGCCAGTCCAAGAACTCGTGAACGCGGCAAAGGCAATACAACGCTGCCTCGACTCCTTGCCGCCACACCTAACAGCTACTAAGGCAGAGGCGAGCACGCAGACGGAAGCGGAAGCGGAAGCGGACCTACGTCTCAGCGGCGGTGAGTACAAGGAGGAGGAGGAGGACAAGGAGGAGGAGGAGGCGACGCAGCTCGAAGAAAGCACGCAGGACGCAACGCAGCCCCCCGAGGATGCGTCGCAGCCGGACGCAAAACGCCAACGCCACGCCTCGGATAGTGCGGCAGAGTCGCCCCAAGCCGGCGATTGCGAGCACGCCGCGTCTGTGTCCGGCAGCTCCTCGCCGATTCTCTCTGTTCCTCCCCTCCCCCTCCCCTCCCCCTGACTCGCGGTCGCGCGTCTAAACTGTCTAAAACCGTGTGTAAAGTCAAAAACACGCACAAGGGCTGGCACGGCTGACACGGCTGACACGGGGTGGCGGTCGCTATAGCGCGTCAGGGCCGACCGGTATATGACACTTTGCCGACCGCCCGTCATACGCGCGCAAAAAGCCTCCGCCTCTAATCCGAGTCCGAGTCGTATCACGCCGTTGCCTTGGACTTCGCCTTGCACTTCGGCTTAGCTTTTTTCCCTTTCTCGAGCTCCTTGACGCGCTTCTCTATGGCAGAGATTTTGGTGGACGTCGCTTTCTGCGAGTTCGCGATCTTGCGCGTCGCGGCCGCGACGGCCGCCACTCCCTTACTCGTCTTTTGCATCTCCTTTGCCGTGATAGCCATGAACTTTTGTATTTCGGACATAATAAGGGGGGCAGATTACGGGGCGAGGGGCGCAGGTGTACGGACTTTACCGGTCGGCCACCGTTTTACCGGTCGGCCACCTACCCGTTTGACGGGTACTAAATGAACATAGTGAGACCAGACGATGATGGAAGCGAGAGTGGCAGGTCATCGTCTACTGGCTCGCCCGCCTTCCACTCGCCGTCGTAGTAGACGCTGCCGTCGGCCCAACGCCAGACGCCGCGCCCCTCCTTCTCGCCCCCCTTCCACTCGCCGCTATAGACGTTGCCGCTGGCGTACCGCTTAACTCCGTACCCCTCGATCGCACCCGCCGCCCACTCGCCGTCGTAGACGTCGCCGGCGGCGGCGAAGCGGAAGACGCCGCGCCCCTCCTTCATGCCCGCCTTCCATTCGCCTTCGTAGACGTTCCCGTTGCGGTACCGCATGGTGCCGCGCCCCTCCCTCTTGCCCGCCTTCCACTCCGCACTCGCCTTCGTAGACGCTCCCGTTGGCGTAGTCCAAAATTAGGTGTGACACACGTGGGCGCCGGCCCCGAGACGGCGGCCACCAAGATGGCCGAGAAGTGTCCGCGGACAGGAAACAGGAAACACGAAACTATGCAGGAGTGAGAGAGAAAGTGACGCCGTGAGACGGTGTCACTATCAGGAAACAGGAAACATGAAACGAGAAACAGAAAACAGGAAAGTGCGTGACGCGATTGTGAGACGTCGTCTCTGCGCCTCCTCCGCAGAGGCGCAGAGAGAGACAGATCCCTATGTGGAGCTTGCAGCGCTCATGGCATCCTTGCGCCAGGGCACACTCCATCTAGCCACCCTTCTTGTAGACGTAGCAGTCGACGGTCTCCGTCGGCGCGCGAATCGTGCGCGTGGTGGTGGAGCCGAGCACCTTGCAGTACCAGTACTTGTGCTTGATGAGCCGAAGCTCGATGCCGCCGCAGCCGCCGGCAAGCAGAGGCACGTCCATGCAGCTCTGCTGGCACTCCGCGAGGCTCCACCTCTCGCCGACGCCCTCGTAGAATACCTTGCTCAATACCTTGCTCGAGCTACCGTCCTTGTCGGCGCAGAAGCCTGGGCGGAGCTTGGTGAAGCCAGCAGCGGCGCCGAGGACCCCTTTTGGCGGCGGCGTGGCCGCCGCCGCGACCGTGGCCGACGGCGAGGCCGACAGGGGCGGCGGCGACGGCAGCGACTGCGGCGGCGGCGGTCGGCGACCCGGAGGGA